CACTGTGTTTCTACCTATAGGATAACAGCTTACAACCTTGTAACTTTGGCAGTTGTTGGTGGGCCAAATCAAATGGCTTGGCGGGCCAAATTTGGCCCACGGGCCCCACTTTGGGCTCCTCTGTTCTATATCCTCATCTTCTCCACAGTAATCACATTTTCCAGTATTATGTTTTCCAATTGTAAATAATGATTTATTTAACCCTGTGTGTCCTAATCTGAGTCTTGATATGACTGTTTCCTCCCTTCTGTTTCCTCCAGCACTCCTCAGTTCTCCCACTTTCCGTTGAATTTTATAAAACCATCGACCTTTTCTTTCTTCCTCCCATTGTTTTTGYCATTTCTGTCTCATTTTCATCTTTATAATGCTTTTTATTTCTGTTTTACTGAATTTTATTTCAATATCAACTATTTTATTTTTGGAAGCCTTTTTTGCTTCTTTATCTGCCATTTCATTTCCTTTTATTCCAATGTGTGCTGGTATCCAGATGAATGTTTTCTTTTTCTTCTTCTTGGTTTTTTTTTTTTTTAATTTTTATGGCGGTTGGCAAACGGTGCATTACCGCCACCACCGGTAAGGAGTGTGAACCAGGACTTTTTTTTTTATTAAACAACAAAGAACACACAAAATAATACAATGTACAAACAATAAGGCGTATTTCAAACAAACAAACAAACTTGCATATAAGAGAAAATGATGGGTGCAAGTAAAGATAAGAAGTTTAAAAATAAGAAGGAACAAAACAAAAAAAAGGCTAAGGTTTAGATGTTAAATCATACTCTTCAATTAAAGAGCACAGAGTGTGGGCATGTTTAGTTTGCATCACTTTAAGAGAATTACAGTACAAAATAAAGTCAGTGTGAAAATGATAGAAATTTGGTTTAACCTTAAGATATTTAGCTTTATGGATGAAAAATTTCCCCAGAATGATAATAGTGTTGATGAGAAAGTCACTGTTGTTACTGTCCATAATAAGTCCATAAATTATATTGTTTTCAGAGAACATTTGGAGACTGGGAACTTTGGGAAATAACCAGTCAAACATATCAGACCATAATGTTTCAACATACATGCATTGAAGGAATAAATGTTCTGTTGTTTCAGTATCATCACAAAAAGTGTGAACCAGGACTAGCAAGCAAAAACATAAAAAAATAAAAAAATTAAAAACCTAGATTCTTTTAATTAACCCCGTTAGATAATGAAACATAATTTTATAACTTGCATCGAAATATCTTTTTACTAATAACTTTAATATATTTTATTGCTATTTTTCTCGTTCAAGACTTCTTATCATTTCAGTTTTTTCTTTCTGGTACTTCCTACAGGTTGACATAACATGCTCTATAGTTTCAATTTCCCCACAAAACTCACATCTGCCTGTATCATGTTTCCCCATTATATGTAACGTTGCATTAAGTCCCGTATGACCCAACCATAACCTTGTTATTATTCTTTCCTGTAATCTATTTCTTCCAACACCTCTTCTACTTTCTCCAACCATTCTTTGAATTCTATAGAGCCATCTTCCTTTTACATCCTCTTCCCACTTCTTCTGCCATTTTCTCTAATTTTTTTTTAATAATGCTTTTAGTCTCTGACTTACTAAAGGAAACTCTTATTTTAACTTAATTCTTCCTTGCAGAATCTTTGGCCTTCTTGTCTGCCATTTCATTTCCTTTCACCTCTATATGTGCAGGTACCCATAAAAACACAACCCCATCATCTGTATCCGATATAGTATTTGCTGTATGTCTATTAAAATGTCTGGATGACCTTCTGAGTGATTTCTTTGTATACTTATTAAAGATGAGCTTGAATCAGAGCATATGACAGCTCTTAAAGGTCTTACTTCTTCAATCCATTCTATTGCCAACATTATTGCATCCATTTCTGCTGTGTAAACAGATAACCCTTCATTTAGCTTCTTCCCTATTTGAATTTTAAATTCTGGAACTATGACTGCTACCTCTGTATCACCTGATTCATTCTGGGATGCATCTGTATTGAACTTTTACATAATCATAAAATTTATCTATGTACTCGTACTATTGTTGAGTTACAAATGAATGTTTTATCTGCTTGCCTTCTGTGTAACAAAGTTAAATCTACGTTTGCTTCTGGTGTAATCCACGGTGGAATTATTGACAATGGCACAGTTGGACTGATATTTAAATTACTTATTTCTAATTCATTTGTTTACTGTATTATTGTCAAACCAAAAAATGTATTGACTGCTCTGTCCATCTCCCAACATGGCTGTAAAGCTAGCTGTGCAGGATGTTTTTTGCTGCATCCCTTTAGATTAGCCCAATAATTTAATGACAACTGACCCCTTCGTAAAGTTAGTGGCATTTCTCCCATCTCAAGAAGCTGATCCATATAATAAACAACCATGATCTATAGTTGATCTTATAAGACTTGTATAAATTAATTTTAATGCTTGTGTATCTGCACCCCATTCATATCCAACTAAACATCTTATTCAGTATTTTTTTTTTACATTTACCACCCACCAAGGGGGGTGGGTGAGAAAGTAGTTTATATATGTGTGTGTGTGTGTGTGTGTGTGTGTGTGTGTGTGTGTGTGTGT